TCGGGGACCCCTATTACGCACTTTTGCAAGTTTACGTATAATTGGGCGTCACCCACAGTCTGCAACACAGCTTCTAAATGGCGCTTGTGCGACTCTATTGCGCTCAGACCATCCTCTACCCTACTATGCACGAATACATCGTCAAAGTAATGGGGCGCGTAGGCACGGTGCTGACGCATCACGTGAGCCACTACTCGGTTGAATGTTGCCGGAGCATTTTTCAACCCTTGTGGCATCACAAGCCACTCCCATAGCATACCGCTTGGGGTGCTTACTGCCGTTTTGGCTACTTCGGTATCTCTCATGAGAACCTGATAGTAGCCATCCTTCAGATCCAACGCGGAAAAGATAGTTGACTTTCCCATGGAATTCAACAAAACATCTTTGCGCGGGATCGGCGTTTGAGCTGGAATGGTGGCCGTGTTCAGCTTATTATAAGCATGAACCACGCGCCATCCACCTGTTGCTTTACGCACACAGAAGGTCGGGCTGCAGTGAGGCGACTTGCTCTCACGTACATGTCCCGCCTTAGCTCGCTTGTCGAAGAACTCATCGATGTAATCGACTTGTTCCTTCGGCAACGGCCATTGCCTGGCCACACAATACTTGGTGCCAGGCTCCAGGTCAATTTCGTGCCTGATGCCCCTATCGGCCGGTAGGCGGCTCGGCACTTCTGCTGGAAACACATCACGGTGTTTCCACAGAACATCATAGAACGGGCTGTCCTTCAAGGCATCCCAGCCTTGAGCAGCGAACCGTTTCTTTTTATCGGTCTCCAAGACGCTCTCGTCCATTGTGGATGAAGAGCAACAGTCCACCACGTTCTCTTCTGGAACTGGTGCGACTATCTCGTGGATTTTTCCTTCCTTTAGTTCGGACAGGAACAGATCCCACGTCATCTCCGAGAGATTTACTATCTCCTCGGCAGATGCCAAGACAAGTTGGAGCACCTTAACTGAGGATGCCTCCGGCATTTTGTCTTCGACGACCTCGAACAACTCGTTCGTAGGTCCGTCCTCTTGGACCGAGACTGATCCAAGGGTCACTCGTTTCGACGTGCCCTTGATCGTCTTAATACGTCTGGTGCTCGTTCTTCGAGTCACCACGACCTTTGACCTGGAAGAAGGTGTCGTTGCTATCTCAGCTAACGCACTCCTTCCAACCGCACCAGGCTCTTGGCTCTGTGCCGGTTCTTGTGGCGCTTGACTTGCTGTCAGCCCACCATCAACTGCCACAGGCTCTCGGCTCTGTGCAGGACTATTGGACGCATGACTACCTGTCATCGCCCCATCTATTACACCAGTCTTTTCGACCTGGGTAGGAATATGTGTCACCTGGCTTTCTGCCAGGGCACTTCCAACTACACCACTCCTTTCGAGCTGAGTAGTTCCTGGTGTCTGTTGACATACCGTCATCGCACCCTCGACTGTGTTGGACACAGCACCAGCCACATAAGCCTCTCGCAAGAGCACATACTTTCTGGTGTCTTGCGTAGAGCTAGCGACTGTGCGTGTACGCCAGTCTACCCATGGTTGGTGTTTAGCCAAGGCAACCAAGACATGCCTAGGATGAGGTCATACGGACTCTCGATACCTAACACTGTGAACTTCACTTTTTCAAGAGAAGTTACTAAAACTGAAGGCGAGTTCAACTTGAACTCCCTCCTATTCAACGAGCGCGCCGTTCGCTAAACGAACGATCGCCTCTTCTCGCTTGCCATCCCGGCAAAGCGACTCATAACTCGCCGGTCTCTTTTTTAGAGCCGCGAGTTTCACAAAGTTTTGTGATGCTCCCGAATCCACGAGAAGTGTCATCACTTGGTCATAGCCTCGTACTCGAGCGCTTTAGACCAAAAGGGTTGAGGTCCGACCTTTCGGAACCTCAGGGACTATGCTACCCATTTGTTCGATCACTCTGAACTTAGGGGTAGCTTCAGAGTCCGCGACAGTAGGGCATCCGCCCCTACTGCGTTCCCGCATTTCCCGACCCATCTTGGGCAGGTGCTGAGCCCGTGCGTCGTGCACGCTAATTTTTTGCACCTCCCTTCGGGTTGGGAGACCTTTTGCTGGCTGCCTTAGCACCAGCAGCTACTTTGGCATAGCAGCAAGCCATCATATGGACTCGCTTACCGCACTTGTAGCAGATCACGTCTGCATTGCCTAACTCCATAGGAGTGGCATCAGACCTTTCAGTCGACGGCCTGTAATAGGCTGTCGCCGAGGCGCTGTTGTAGGATTGCTCCTCAACTAAGGCAATGTCAATTGCCTCTTCCATCGTCGCTGGCACCTTTCTGAAAAGGGCCTGACGCGATGGGCCATGCCTAAGTCCATTCATGAACGTGGTGAACGTGGCTACCTTGATACGCTCTGGTATCGGTTCCCCATTAATGGACGCCGACAGCGAACGCATCTCCTGCACAAACTCTTGCAAAGAGCGTTTCGCCTGTCGTGCTCCAAAGAAGCGCGCCATAAGCAACACTTCGTTGTTAGGCGGCTGATACATGGCGCGAATCTTTGCCTTAAAGATCGCCTATAATGGAAATGCATCAGCATTAGCCATCAGCGCAGAGTATGCCCACTCTGACGCTTTGCCACGCAAGTTGGACATGGCATACGACACCATTCTGGTGTCGTCTTCGATGAGCTGCACCACTCCACATTGCTCCACTGCTATAGCCAGTGAGCAATCGTGTGAGGGCTAGTTCCATCGAACTTCGGAGGGTCCATCCGAATGGGCCTCGGTTGAGCAGGCCGGGCAGAGAGCGTCTCAACAGTCCTGTTGAGCGCCTCATTACGTGCCTGCTCAAGCCTAAGCTCATCCTGAGTCTTAGTGATGGACTCAGCGGTGGCTTGGCTGTTTACCTCGAACGCGTTTCTACGCTGTCCGAGCACAAACGCCTCGAATTGCTCCAACTGAGCAACATGTTGCTCAGGAGGACAATGCAAGAGACTGACCAGGGCTTGTTCACCAAGTCCCTGCGTCATATGCTCTGCCAACTCCCTATGATGTTGGGAGAGGTGAGGGAAGTCACTCCAGTCCATATTAAGGACCATGTCAACCACACGCACGCTCAGAGAGACGGATGTGGGAAGAACTACTAGTGCTACCAAGTGTGGACGGGCACTTCTATGAAGTTGCCTCGTACTACGAGCACACACCTTATGCACAAGCGAGGAAGCGGTTAGACCGTCTTACCTTCGCGTGCGAGGGTGGTTGGGAGGTTGGTCGACTGCTTAAGCAGTCGTACCACCAGTTGCCTCTCGCTTAAGCGAGAGTGCAACGAACTTCTAAGACAAGAAGGCACCGACGTCACGTAGAAGCTTCTTCAGCTTCTCGTGCGTGGTGCTTCGGTTTAAGGAAATTCAAGACTGAGCTATATTTAATTAATTATAACTAAATATATGTTTAACTACTGATTGGCTATATATATATATAGATCGGATACGCGACTCTTTAGAAGCGTATCCTGTCGCATGATCTTAAATCTAGATTTAAGATCGCAACTGACGTCCTTCTGAGACGTCGTGATGCCTAGCTTCAACTAGCGTCATCCCTTCTCATGTGAATCCATCAATGGATATCACATTCACGAGGGTGGATCACATTTGTGTGTCGCACCCAAGTGACTGGTCAAAAGTAATCATGGATACTTTTAGACCAAACATTAAGTATATTACTTAATGTTTACGTGTAACTAGGTACCCTGTTACAACGTAATAAACAAATTTCCTTACTACCGATGAGTTTTTCAAAATGTTCCCTACCAATATCTAATATGCCACCAACTAGACTACTCGACCTTTGCATTGTTGCTTCATTGCATCGCACCAGCCGCACTCAACCAGCTTTAAACGCAAAAACTCCTTTAGTTTTTCCTTCTCGCCGCTTTGCACAAAGCGCTTGCCAATACGCATCTTTACTTCCTCATCCATTTGCTGACAGTCTACATCCATCCTTGAAGTAGGACAACTCCCAGAAGCATTGAAACAGTCAGGCGACATACAACAAAAAGACACAACATTGTCAACTCACTCGTCCATATCCGTAGCGGAACTCCCCGTTAGGACTCTCCAGACGTCTTTTCCACCAATAGTCCGACATTCTTCTACAAAGGTCTCTCGTGGACGATAGAGAGCCAGCACTCGTCCGAAGTACGCGAATTGTCATATTTTTATGGCCCTTATTGTGTCGACGACAAGGCTTCCTGTCCACTTTTTAGAGAGTAATGGCAGCCTGTATGCGATGTAAAGGATACGAATGAATAGCTTGATCGTTGCGAACAAAGTCTTAGTCTGCATCATAATAATGCATACACCGTGCTGCCTTGCAGTCGCTACCGGTGGCGCATCTCGACTTGCTAGCGCCTTCAGCGATGACGTGAGATGATACGAAACATTGAACCAAGGTTCACGGCTGCTGGCAGAGCTCATTGCACACATTTTCCATCGAGCACCTCAGCTCAATCATTCATCATTCGAGTTCGGTGGCTTCTTCAGCATGTCCACAGTCTGAAGATGAAGAACATAAGGAACACAAACCTCACAGTCGACAGAACAGATAGGTATGTTCATCCAATTCGTGCTTTCATGTTTTGGAGCGGTAACAGTCGTCCGAATGCGCGCCAATCTTTACCGCGGAATGTCAGATCGTGATGCGCTGAACCAAGCTTCTGCATCCTCTTCCCCGCCTCTTAAGCACGACCTTCCAAAGTTTAATCCTGCTCTGGCGATAGCTATGACAACAACGAACCGGATGCTCTTTCATGACTGCAAAACGGGTTGTTTCTGATCGCAGTCGGCATTGCGCTATTCACAAATACCAGGGCTGAACGAAGCAACCAAAGAATCCAGCAAGCATTGGACACCTCAAGACTTTCCATTGCGCGTCCTAGTGGATCAATTATGCAGTCAGTAAAGGTAGAATACGCACCCCATCACAATCCTAGGCACCTAAATTCTAGCGCTCATCAGCAGCAATGTGCTTCCTCCATGTGACGTAGTCTAGTACACACGCCCTACAGGGTCCATAACCTGAGCGTACCGCGACGGCAAACTGATCGCTTGGTCATCATCATAAGTGGCTTCGAACACCTGACCATCATACGCATAATGCACATAGCTGCAATTCCAAAAATGAAAGAAATACGTTAGAGATACAACAAGCCGCGAGTCGCAACAAAAGCTAGTTCGAACTCTTACAGCAACGGCTTAGCAATAAAGCTTGATGGCGATCGTGCGTCAGATATTGTTTGGTCTTCGCCGATGCACGGATTGTAGAATTCTAGCAGTCCAGCTTTTGATGCGGAAGATAGAGCAAAATCTCCAAGCTACGCATCCTCGAAATAATAACAACGCAGTAGGCTTCGATCAGTATGGACGTCAGCGCACCATTCAATTCCCGTACCTTGACGAAGAACTGAAGTGGAATTGAAACGTCGACCCATTTCTGCTCCAGCACCTCGGCGTCTGCCTCCTGCTGTGCGATGCTATCACCGCTGCCAGGGTCGTCTTCATCACCAAGTTCGTAGTTCAGTTCGCGCTCCGGCATCGTTCGAAGCGCCACATCGAAAGCGTTTCCTCGACCCTCATGCTGGTCGGAGCTCGTCGGGTTCTTTCCATACCGGCCAAGCAAAACCACCAACCCCTTGCCGTCCTCTTGTTGCTGATCCTGCTCCATCTTCTCTTTTGCACAACGAAGCATCAGTTTCTGCTGCTCCATTGCATTGTGTCGTGCTGCTGCAAGATACTGCACAAACATATCATGCCGGCGCTCCAACTTCAGACGACGCTTTCGTTCCTGAACAAGCCCCACGAGCTGCGTAACGAGTGCAGCCACCACAAAGGGCAAGGTGGCTGCACAAAGAGTAGAGAAAGCTGATTGCCTGGAGAACGAAGACAAGAAAATGGGCATCACAAAGCGCACACTCCCACGAGTGAAGCCTAAACGTAAAGTCACGCCTGCGTGCGAAAGCAACACATTCAGTCCCAATCGTGTGTGCTTCAAATTTGTTCCGACTTGCTCCCGCCACGAACGACAAATCTGTCGCAAGATTTGCCCGCAATGATAATTTGCCCGTCGTCGCAGCCACGAGGGCACGATGAAACTGAAACGTCAAGTTGGGTCCTCCACCATTTATTGCAACAGCAGCCGTGGCATTGTAAGCTCCCGTGTCCTGGCTGAGCGAGCCAGAAAGACCGTCGCGTGTACTCCACATCATTGCACCATGAAGCTGAGGTGTCAGTAGCTGGTTAGCACCCATGGAGATGTCAAGGCCGTTATCATCAAGCTCCGGAATGAGCATGAAGACTGTATACGGCGACACTGGCTGACTAATCTGGCAATTAAGTTTTGGCGCCCAGCCGAGCTCGCTCGAGAGCGTGAACGACGGTATACTCGGATCAAATGACGTGTGCGCTAATTGTGCCGTAAAGCTGCCCATGCCAAGTCCTTTTTTGTCATACATATACCCTCCAAGTGTCAGTGTCGTACTCCGTGACAATGGAAATACGGTACGCTGATGAATCGTCATCTCTGTGCGATCGACAAACCGTGCTCCACTGTCACATAAACTCCGCATTCCCTGCATTGGCGCCTGCACCAAGTTAGATGCATCTACGGCCATGGACATTTCACTAAACGATGAGAATTGTGCTTCCAGAGCCTGTTGGTTCATGCGTTGCATACCTTTTTCCACGTAATGCTGTACTTCATGTAATGACTTGAAATGAGCCCCTATCACTTGTTGCTGTGTACCACCTTCTTTCTCCAATGCAATCACACCCTGTCTCGTATGCAAATATGAAGTACCAACGTTAGTACTGTTGTTTTGTACCCATATTCATGTAAAGAGCCGTACAAACGAGCTATGATCAATCAAGACATCCTCAATTATCCACTCACCTTTTCACCGTAACTGTCATAAACCCCTCGCTTAATTGGATCAAAGAGAACCCGATAGGCTCTGTCTAGCACGGCGTATTGCGCATTAGCAGCCGCTACGAGCGACGTGTTGCCGTGACGTTGAGGATGACGATCTGGATGAAACTCACGTGACAGATATAAGAAGCAACTGCGGATCTCTTCACTTGAAGCATCACGAGATACACCGAGAAGCGCGTAGTAATCGCGCTCAAACTGACGCCAGGACGAGGCGTCCAGTGTGGACGCATTGGTCGCTATCACTTAACCGGTAAATAAATGAAATCGTGTGGGCCACGCAAGTTTTTGTAAAAAACAACACTTTCGATTGTATACAAACAAACTAGTGCTTTTCAGAATGATGGAAAATATTATAACTTTACTTCATTCTAACTGTATCAACAGCTGCCAGAGTGATAGTAGAAAAGGTAGGTATTGTATACATAGAATGGTACTTAATTTCGTTAGAAGAAGACAGCATGTAAATTTCACTACAAGCAAAGTCTCTTGAAATTTAAGATGACAACAGCAGCTTTAGATGCTCATTGGACAAAAGAATGTAACAACATGAAATAACAGCTTTAGTAAGCACAGATGCGAACGTGCCGCCTATTAGAAAAAACTAACAGTATTGGAATGAAATTTTAAAAACTTTATATTGATAGGCATCAGGTACTGTTTTAGCAGTAATACATACCATGAGCATACGGCTGGCAAACAAGGTTTACGAAATGAGCTATATGCACTGAAAAACGTGCCTCAATTCGACCGAGATGTATCTGCAACATGCAAGAGTGCGTGATAAAGACCAATAAGCTTTCGAACATTGAAAATGATTTTCTCCATACGCGGCATCGGGGTACCCCCTCCGACAGCCGGTAGTCCGGCACAGTGATTGGTTTGGGGTCTCATCATACATATTTGAGAACCCACTCCACCACAATGGTGCGCGTGCCCGGATATTCGGAAGACACAGGATTTCACCGCGAGTCCCAAGACGATAATGATGTTCTGTCAAGAAGGAGCTCAATACAGAAGAGCCACTGGCAGACCGATCGACAGTGACTCAAGAAGACAAAAACAAAGGATCGAAGGGCCTACCGGACCTTAGGAGGGGCCCGGTCAACATGGTCGAGGTTGAATTTATTGAAAAAAAACCTAAATACCCTCCCTATGTCCTCGAAGAGGACACCTTGGGTCATCATGATATCTATCATGATCTAGAGGACCATCAGCCGACGGTGAAAACCGAGAGGCTAAGGTCCCCGAAAAAATAGCAAACAAAGATCACGCAATCCAAGCCGACCAAGTTCCGGATGAAGACACCCGGAAACACCAAGTCGATAGGCCCCGAGAAGTCAGGACTGGCATCATGGTCAGATGCTGATGTCACGAAAGCCTACCACCAACGCAAGCTGAACGCGTTCCTGGAGAGCGACCCCGTCACGAAGACCCTGGAGATCCGGCAGCTGGGTCAACTCACTGGGCCGGTGTCGACCCTACCACGGCTGCAATCCGTCACGGACGCGATCACAGCGCTGGTCACCCTTCTTCGTGAAGCGAACATGGTCGCAGGGCGGTTCGACCCGGACGACCTGCTGTCCATGGGATTCGACAGAATCACAAAAACGTTAGAGCATATGCACAAGCGTCTGTCGATCCTAGTGGGTACCACGCCAGCAAAGGAACACCCACCTCTGACGACACCCACACAAACACGGTCCAAGGACAGCCAGATTATAGCGGGCTAATGACCCGTTACCGTCCTACACTAAAAGGGCGTTGAGGAAGCGCTCTTAATTAACTCGTAAATATAACTCTGTTTTACTTTTGTTTTAGTTTTAGTTCGCATTAAGTGCGAATATGTTCCCTAGCTCATGGGAACCACTCAATATGGAAGTTAATTTATTATTGGCTAATTATTGGGTCTGGCACCCCAATAATAAACCAATAATTAAAAAGACGCGCAGTATCCGCTAATCGGTTACTGCCCTATGCCTACTTAAGTAATTATGTATTAATCCTATAACTACTCATGTAATAGGTTGCCCCATTACATCACCCCCCTCTTTAAGCTGTGCTTACTACAACGTAAGCACATAACATGAAAATGATTCTTTTCACCAAAGATGCAGCGACACAACCTCGAACCTCCTCAGTGACACGCAACTGAACAGCATGACCCTGGCCGCGCGCGCAAGGATATATCTGACGACACCAACCTTACGATCTGCAGGGAGCAGACACCGCGAGTCACGGACGCACACTTGATCCCGTGGACGCTATACCGTTATATCAGCGCTAATCATCCAGAATTGCGAGAGCTCATAACGAAATTATTCATTCGCTATCTTTTCGTTGGTGCAGTGGTTTACCAATGAGTTCTTGATCGTGATGTCGATGGTTCGATCCCCACGTGCGCCATATTCGATTCGCTATGGCAACCCATATAGTCGCAAATGCCATCCAAGTTTTCTCGAGCCTCATAATAGATCTCGTAATCGCTCGGGGACTCGTCTTCAAAGTTCTGTTGCTCGCGAGCATCACGGCTCGCAAGATTGGGGATGGAATCGGCAGCATCACTCGCAATAGCCATCTTCCTACGCGACTCATAGTCCTCGACCACGTCCGGGACATCTTGGAATAGCGTACTCGATGGCTCCCATGTATCGTCCGCCGGGGGATATCCCAACCCAGAAAACCCTGTAATGTTTTTCGACATGCTTCTTCATGGGCGCCGAGTTATTACTCGGCGCCTGGGACTTGTGATCCTTGTGATCGACAATCCGGTCGACAATCCAGCGTCGCGCACCCGATGCATCGACTAAGGGAGGAGGAGCATCACGACGGAAGACCTCTGGCGATGAGCGCTGATTTTTGTAATCGGGCGCCTGTAAAGCCGAATGATGACCTGCGCATACTTCGCGCTGAAGCCGAGGAGTCGAAGAATGCCCTAATTGATGCTCGTGAGATGGCTGAGAGAGCTCAAGATCGTGCGGATGCTGCGACTGAGGCTGCTGAGCGGACTCGACGTGAGCAGCTGGTACTAATTGAGCGCCTACGTCAACTTGAGACGACTGCGTTAAGAGGGCCCCAGCAGATCGAGTCTACACGTGTTCGGGTAGGACTTGGTCCCAGTCGTCGTCAGCGTCGTCGTTAAGAGATGTCGGATTTTGGGCCGTCACAGAAGAGCGGGGGCGATTCGAAGGGAGGTCCGCCAGTAGGTAAGCCTTGAGGCGCCCGACGTAGAACGTCGGGTGCAAACGCATAGACGAGGTATGTCTAGCGTGTAAGCGTCACTGTGGTGGAGTGGATTCTCAAACAATGTGAGAGAACCACAAACACACACAGCGCCGGACTGCCGACTTACGGAGGGGGTACCCCGATACCGTGTCGCGTCAACCTTGGGTCTCACCTTGTGTACCCGTCGGCTTGGCTGGTCTTGCTCCTCGTTAGACGCAGAAGACTTAAAGACTTGGTCTTTGTATAGGACTTGGACTTGGTGGTCCCCGAGTGGATATACTTCACTTGGGACCGGGTTTCTTGGGTTCAATCGACTTAGTCGAGAGAGATGCACCTGGTACTGCGTACCCCTTTGGCGGCTGACTGTTCTTGGTCCTTGGGCCCCTTTGTGTTCTTCCCCGTAGGGAAACCGCTTCCTGTAGCGGGTCGTAGAGTGTTGACACTTACTTTACACCTCAGGCCAACTATCCTGAGGTTCAACTTGCGTTGCTTGAGCCGTCTAACACCTGCTGGACGTCGGGGGGGCCAAAGGGTATCCCGCCCGGAAGAGGTGTAGCGACGGAGAAGCTTAGGAGGGGCGCTTAAAGCTGCCACGTGTAATGCAAATTCGAGTGTGTTTATTTACCTTTTTTTCTGTATGCTTTTCTTGCCTAACCTTAACCCTTTGATCTGGATAGTGCCACGTGTCGACTCTTGGAGGAAGAACTGGCTCCTTGGTACCTGTACTTTCTGAAATATTCGATATTCCGTGTACCGATTCTGCACCCTCGGACATTAGGCCCCTGGGCCCCTGCCCTCCCTGGGTCCCTGGGCCCCTGGCCCTGTACCCCTGGGCCCCTGGGTCCCTGGGCCCCTGTGCCCTGTCCCTTGGGCCCCTGGGCCCCTGGGCCCCTGGGCCCCTGTACCCCTGGGCCCCTGGGCCTCTGGGCCCCTGTACCCCTGGGCCCCTGTACCTCTGGCCCCTGTACCCCTGGGCCCTGTACCCTGGGCCCCTGTACCCCTGGGCCTCTGGGCCCCTGGGCCCCTGGGTCCCCGGAACCTGTTTCAGGAACCTGGGGCCTGTGCTGACTCCGCACGTATGGGTCCTTATATTCTTAATACGGCGGGGCCTGGTGTGTGGTTGTAAATCCGCGAGGCCGGGTCGTGGTCACTCCCTCGGGGAAGTGACCAGAAGTTCTCTTGCTCTCTGTTCCATTTCCCTTAAACTCCAAATTTCCCTGGCACTTCACCACAGCTGTCCCCTGCGCGCTGGTCTTTCGAACTGCGGTAAGACCACGTGCACCCTTGTCCAAACTCCTCGAATTAACAGTAAGTGATCCTACGTCGCTTGGGTGGTTGCGTTCACTAACTCACACGTCTTGTATCCGTTAGTGACTTCTCGTAATCTTTCCACCGGGTCTCAAGCACCTGACCGTTGGTCTTTTTCCGCACTTCCTGGACCTGACCCTGACGAGGTCGCCCCGACCGTGGACCTTATTGGGGAGCCCCCCAATTATCTGGAGGTCTCTCAAGCTTGGGAAGTTTTACGTGTTGCGGTGGAACGGGCCCAGGCCATGGAGACCCTCGCTGAGGAACACAGGGTACTCCAACGGGCCTGCCAGATGGAACATCGCCGGACCGCGGAATTACAGCGTCGCGTAAACGACCTAACGGAATTTGAGGTGACCCATGCACCCCGGATACAGTCTTGGGTCCGGAATCTGGTCCACGAGCATGAAGTGGACCAGCTGGCCATCGCCGAGTACCGGGATGCACTCGCCCAACGGGTGGACAATTCTCGGGAAGTGGAAGAATCCCGATCCCAGATCAAGTACTGGAAGGACCAGTACAACGAGGCTGTCGAAAATTCTTTGGCTGAGATTCGGTCGCTGGAGTCCAAGTTGGACGCACTTCGCAGTCCTCAAGAACTGTCCAAGCAAGTGTTGGTACTCCAGAAGGAGGTTGCCAACTACAAGAGCCGCGTGAAGACCCTCCTCCGTGAACGTGACCAGCTGCAGAAGCAGCTAACGGTTGCTCGAGGCACGGCGGCAAAATCGACTCCAGCCACGACCAAAGCCCGAAGTTCCAGAACGACGAAAAGGTCACGTTCGCCTTCATCCAAGGCTCGGTCGCCCCTTAAGCCGAAGAAGCGAAAAGCCAATCGTGCCCCGGGGTCATCTGAGGCCGAGGATAGCAGTAGTGACGACTCGATGTTCGCCGCCATGGCCAGGTCGCGGGCTTCCAGTCGTCGCTCCGGCCCTGTACCCTCTACGTCAGAGGTCGGCCCCGAGGTCATAGACCTATCGACTAAGGCCAAGTCCAAGGTTCCCACTCCACCTTCAAGGCCCCCATCCCCTCGCACCTCCCACGCAGCGTCTCGGGTGTCAAGGAACAAGAAGGCTCGAACGACGTACTCCGACGAGTTCTTGGAAATGTTTGGACCAGACTCTGAAACTGAGAGTGACGAGTCTAGCCATGCTAAGCGTAAGCCACCAGCTAAAAGTTCCCGCCGCAAGGGCCCCGCCGGCAAGGGTCCAGTACCACCCCCAAGGGTTCCAGCGGCAAG